ATATAAATATTACACAGAGAAGGGGTGAAAATGATACTGCAGTATGTATGGCACCATGCAATAGTTAAATAGGACTGCAGAGAAGCCCTGACACAGACTTGTTGGATTATAAGAGCATAGTTTACTGTATATGTAAAGCATCCAGTTTAATTATAGGGATTTGTGTAATCATCTTTTATGTGGTCATAGCAAACATAAAGCCCTAATTGAAACCGGTGAACAAGTATATATATTTTATCTGTTTTTTGGTAAGGTTTGACACACTTGATCAGTGAACAAAATTGATTCCCTAATCAGAATCTGTGTTAGGATATCCAGTTAAAGATGTGTGCAGCTCTCTCTCAGTATGCATCTTTGATTCATGTGCTAATTGTGTAGGTCCTTTGGGGAAATACAGCAGCGAAGCAGTGTACTTCCTGATTAATGCTGGGGAAGAGACATGCAGTGCTCAGTGGATAGCAGTTAAGCATCTCTAGTCCCAGCTGAGAATATGGTTCCATTATCTCCCAGCTGCATAGACAATCCATAAGGGCCTGTTCTGCCTGGCTGATCAGCATCGTGGAAGGAGTGACTTGCTGAGAGCTGAAATCTTTGTTTGATTTGCTGTAAAATGTAAAAGAAACTGGGACATTTTACTTTACAGTTCTGTAAGTACCAGTTTTGCCTCTAAAGCTGCATGTGAATGTGACTTTGCCCGATGCATTTGATTTTCTATTCCACTGCTCTTTGTTGAATCTAACTGGTGAGACAGGGTATAATCTGTTTAGCGCTTGCAGTTTTCTTTGGGTCCTTTATACAGGCATGTAATTGATTCCCTTAAGCAAATTAGTTGTCTTTTTTTCCAAAATGCTTTTTATGAACATTAAAGATCTCGCTACATGGGTAGTAGTGTGTTGTTTCAAAGGCTTGTGTGAGACATCTTAAAGCAGGCATTTGGGTCTTTTACAGTTTTTCTATGCATATCAATGACAATAGTATGACCAAAAATTATTTAGCTGAAACAGGTGCTTGTATTCTGTATTATAATGTAGAAAATACTTGTTGACAAAATAGTTCATTCAAGCTGCCAGCTTTCTGTCTTCTCCATAAACACAGTGTGGGAAAAGAGGAGAAGTGAAGTGTTCAGTGAGTTGCAAAGTGCTTTAAAACTTTCTTTTTAAAATGTACATGCATATGTATAATGGAATGTCTGTGGTATTGATTAATTTCACTTAAATGTCGAGGATTGAATTAAAATGTAAGACAAGCATGTGCTATATACTGTAAGAATCTCATTTTGTTTGCAAGGCATATTGTGAACACAGATGTGACTAACTCAAATTTGGAGTAGGTGTTTTATTTATTTTTAGGAAAAGATGCAATATATCAACATGCTTTATATAGCCCTGATTACTGTAATATCTGAGCAGCCATCAGGTTAATATATGTCATTTACAAAGATGCATTAATCTAGCACTGTACTTGCAGAAGAAATAAGTTTTTGCAGTGACTTGCAAATTATAAGTGGCAGTAGTGGCATTAAAATTAATATCAGTATTAATATTATTTTTTCTGGCTTTCATGGGCTTTGTCTTCCAGTTCTATACATTTATGTAATATGTGGCTTTACATACAGTGCCCTTGGACTTCTTGTGCTATAGGTCAAGCCCTGGAATAGATGAAAGTAATTCAAAATTGTTCTGATTTGAAGGGTAGAATAGTCAGACAAGCTGAATGAAATCCTGTGATGCAGAAGGTACATAAGGAGTGCAAATATTTTTTTTCCTGTATAGGCAATAAGTCTCAAAGCTGAGAAAACCACAGGCTGTGAAGTATGAAAGTGTCTTTCTGGTGAGGACAGAGTATTTTCTCATTAGACTTGGTTAAGGGGAACAGCACAAGAAAGAGTGGAGTCACAATAGATGGCTACCTGCGGTAGTACAGATATTCTCAGATCCTAGGGATCCAGGGAGAAAATAAGGAAAATATAACATTTAGTAAGAGGAGATGCTAGAGAATGAATACAGTATTTCCATGTGCCTTCCATATGCTGGGATTTTAGTGTGGAGGTTTCTGCTTCCATGGAAAAGGGTAAGTCTGAATTAAGTATTACAGAAAACATGTTTAAGGTTAATTGGTCTCAGCAACTGCCTCCTAAGCATTGTTTTTTTTCATAATTGAAAGAAGAACTTGTCCTCATTTCAAAATAGAAGGCATCTCCAATGAGCCCCGCTGTAGAAAGAGCTACATGGGTATTATGATAATTTGTTTCTTTAGGAACGGTGTTATTTCAGCATTTCTGTAATGATTATGAGCACATGCAGCATGAAATGTGATATTGCTCTAATATGCGTTAGCTAAACCAATGTACTTAGTTATCTGTCAGCCTTTTGCAAATATGTATGTTTTCATAAAAATGAGAGCTATCATTTTCATTTGTCTCAGGTTTTTACACTGGGAGATTTGTTTGCTCGAACTTGACCTCCTAGTCAAACTTCCCTAGCACATTTAAAATTTACTGGTTTGCGACTATACAGCATGATTTCTCCAAAGATTTTTTTTATTATTATTTTTATAGCTGTTATTTAGTTTTCAGTTTAGTTTAAACTTAGAACTAAGATTTTGAGGAGAGTACAAGCTATGAGGGAATGTTCACTGTTCTTACTTAGCCTCAAGACACAGCTATTTTGAATATTAGTGAGCAGTGTTTGCCATTACTAATTTTTGTGTTGTTCCTTATCATTTTGGGAGATTTGAAAATTTAAGCAACTGACTGCAACTGTGATGGAGTAGTCAGAAGCAGCTATGCAAAATATCCCCAAAAGGAGCTGAAATATACTCGTGGAAGTCAAAAGTTGAATTCCGGAACACTGTGCAGTTTGTTGCATAGTGCTAACACACCTTGCAGGCAGGTGTGAACTTGAAACAAAGGGTTTTGATTTCAATCCAGATTTGCTTAAAAATGTATATGAGGGAGAAGAGGGAATTAAAAGAAAACGGCAATGCCAGCAATGCTGCAGAACAACAACAACAGCAATTATTATTGTCCATACTGCGTAATCAAGTGGTTTTACTGGTCTTGTAAATAATAATGCTTAAGCTTACAGCCCTGGATCAGCAAGATACTTAAACATGTGTGTGGTTTTTAAGCACATGGGTTGAAGTCAATGAGAGTCCTTATGTGCTTAATGTTAAGTTCATGGTTAAGCACTTGGTTGAATCAGGGCCTTATATAGCACTTTCCGTATGAAATTCTCAAAGTGCTCCACAAACTGATGAAATAAGCCTCACGAGGCACCTATGCCCTGGCTTAGCATTATTATCCCTCTTCTACAGAAGTGGAGATTGAGGCACAAACACACTTGGCAGAGACTTGCTCAAGGTCACAATACAGCAAGTCTGTGATGCAACCAGAAGTGTAAACCTCTGCACCCAGTTTCTAGTCTCCTGTTCTAACTACTGGTCATTTCTGATGTACAAAAACAAAAACAAACCACTTGTTGTAAGATTAGGAACAGTCCTTGTCCCTTTGATCACCTACATTGTTAGTGTCTCTCCACAGCATTAATTAATTCATTTCCACATAAGACAAAAGAAACTTTAAAAAAAACACTGTACTGGTTATTGCAACTTAAAAATACGGCATAAAATTGCCAGAACAATAATAGCATTCATCTTTTCAGAGGTACAGAACTTGCTGAATGCCAAATGAGTCATTACCCATTTGTTTCTCAGAAGTGGAGTTGTACATGGGGAATTTTATTTCTCTAATGTTAAGCTGTTGACATGACAAAATTAGGTCAATGCAAATTATTTGCTAAAAATGTGCACGTAACACATGATTTGTTGCATATTACAATCGCTAACCCTGTAGAAGTTTTAACTCTGAAGCAACCCAGATGAGCTAATGTTGCTGCCCACCCCAGAAAATAATAATCCTGGGAAATCCTTATGATGCATTGATTATGGATTTATAGTAAGTACTTTCAAACCTGTGGTTCTTATAGGACCCTACTTTAAACATATAGTTACTGACCTCCAAGTGTTGCTTCATCACATGAGGATATTTTAAAATGAGCATTTGTTAAGTAACTGCAAGAAGATCAGATTACTATGAGTTAGTTTTCTACAGGCTAATTTGTTGAAAGAAAGAAATAGCTACCTAGCAGAGAGTGTAAATTTGTTCATGTACTTTACACACAACTGAAGACAATAAGAAATTATTTAATGAGCACTTCTTTAAGAGCTGATGGACATTGATTCTCACTAACATTCAGTGCTTGTATGTTGACGTGGAGGAATATATGTAATATAAAACAGGACAATGCAGTATTTTCTGGATGCTATGAGTGCACCGCATACAATTGTATGTAAATATGCACGAACTTCTTGAGAGAGAGAGAATGGTATTATTTCAGGTTTGCTTTGTTGTACTTTAGGAATTCTAATTTCACCCCTGATTAAATTTATATAGTGTAACATATTGAAGCAGGAAATAGTTAATTTTTATGAGATCAATGCAGTATGTGAAAATTATTTGCTTTTGGTTTTGCAAGTATCAGTATGCTTGCTGGACAGCACAGAGCCAATTAAGTGAAAGCAGCGATGCAAGATTATCTATACAGTTTTTGTCATTGCATTCTTCCTCTCCATCCAGGCAATGAATTTCCATATTAAAGTATAATATACTCTTATCCACATAGTCTCTCTCTTATGCAGAATAGAATGGTGACAGGCAGGATTTCTTTACACTGTTAATTCTTTAGCTGCAGTCTTATATATTTTCTTCAGTGGCATCATGGGTTTAAACCAATGAATGAGAAGATTTTGGAAATACAGTTCAATATTGGTTAGTTAATAGTTCCAATGGTGTACCAGACAGTTTTATTGTATTGTATGAGAAAGCTATAAATCATAGACAAGACATGGCTGTATTTACACAGGGACCCTTCTGGTAGAGTCCTTTTTTTCTATAATTAAAAGATACATATTCTAAAGGAAGGAATAAAGTAGTAGTTTTGTTTATAAAGTAAAACAGGATTAGCTTGTTTTTTTCAGCAAGGGAAAGCCAGTGATTTAATGTTAAGAGGAAAGAATCAGAAGAATTGCAAAGAAATAAAGTATATCTTATGGCAAGATATAGAATGCAGTGCTGTAGATTTTAGAGGAGATGGCAGAATTTACAGAAGCTGACTATCCCAGGCAGTTGGCAGAAGGGACTAAAGAAGACAGATTTAAGACTTGCCAGGAGGAAACCCTATATCAGTGGGTAGATTCAAGTGCCCTGCAAAGGAAATGTAAATAAGGCAGTAGAATCTGAGAGTTCTGTGGTCAAATGAAATGCACAGAAACAGCTTCAAGCCGAGGAGGGAAGATGTGGTGTATGTGGAAAAATATCAAATGTAAGACCACTGGGACAAATTTAGAAACGGCTGCCGCATGCATTGGTAAGTTACTGTGTAAATGATTATGAAATTTGAATAGCTTGTAGTGAGATGTTAAAAAATGTTGTTGCCTCTAGCTGCTTTTTGATGCCTAAACGTGTTAATAAAATTACTGTGTATGCTTTTAAAAAGTAAAAACTACTACTCCGTGGGAAGTTGTTACAGTGATACTAGAAGTGCCCTAGGATTCTGCTTTAGAAACACAGAATCTCCCTGCAAAGTTACATGAATGTGGTTACCTGATAGGCATTACTAAACAGTTTTCAGTGTTGCAATGTTGTAGCCGTGTCAATCCCAGTATATTAGGGAGACAAAGTAGGGTAATATCTTTTATTGGACCAACTTCTGTACATTTCCCAGACCTGAAGAAGAGCTCTGTGTAAGCTCGAAAGCTTATCTCTCTCACCAGCAGAAGTTGGTCCAGTAATAGGCATTACCTCATCCACCGTGTCTCACTAAATAATAGGAAATTTGTATATATAAAGTACACTTTCTAGTTTTGGGAGCGTATTATTGTGAATGAGTGATTCAAACTGAAGTGTGTGTATATGTGTAATTATACCACAAATATGGAAAATGTGTTTAGTTAGCACAAAGACATTTTCTAAACCATTTGTATTGCCTTCTCTGAGTCTGAGAATCAAAACCATTGTACTGTATCTAGGTGCTATAGACATTTAGTAAAATGTTGTTTGCCTTCCGGACATATTATTAATGAACAAGGTCAGTCATTAGGCACAGTAATTTGGAAGTGGTGTCTTGTTCTGCTTCTTTGAATGTTTGTACGTTCAGGCCCCTTTTAGAGTAGGAGAGCTGCTTGCACAGAAAGAATTTCATGACACTAAAATAAATCCTTGGGGTGGCTCTCAGAACAGAGGAAATATTGTGATCAAATATGGTTTCTAGGGCGTGTAAGTGATGTATGGTGCAAAAGCAGATTCTGTAATTCGAAGTGGTCTGTTTGTCTTCTTCAGTTATTGATATATTTATGGAGTGGGAAGATGCAATGGCTAAGAGATACTCCTGGGTCCCGCATACTCCCTGCCCTGGCAGTACCCCCTTTGGGAAAACTTATTTACTACTATAACCTCTCTTAAATTATTGTGTTTCTTGTTGAAACTATGTAGAATACAGTACACTTAAAAAATTACATATGTTAGATAACTCTATAGCTACACTTGTATGAGAGAAAATGCTATCTCACTATTTTACAGTAAACGTAGCCAAACTATTGAGGATAATATTTTAACAAAATGTTCTATTTTGAAGGTTAATGCTTCCCCGCAAATTAGAAAACCTTGTGTAAAAATACAAACACAGTATTTTTTTTATCTTGGGAAGTTGCCATGTAGATGGAGCAATATGTTAAATGCGTAATAAAAGAGGTGTACAAATCTAGATTTTTCACCAAGTAGATTGACTTCAACATATCTCACAATATCCTCTTTATATGCTTCATAAGATGCAATTGGTATCCTACTTGAAGGACTAGATAAAGACTAGAGACAGTTCCCTGACTTCTTTTTTCAAGTAAAACTAAGCAGCTGCAGTTAATGAAGAGCTAGTAGATCATCCCACATCTGTCAGGGAGTATTCACCCAACAGAGTGAAGAAATGACGTTAAAGATTAGAGAGGGAAAGTAGGAGAGTTGCTAAATTGAGCAGAATAGGCAGCATTGCACTGCACTAATAATAGAAATACTGTAATAATTTTAATCTGTGCAAGATGTATAGTTTTAGAAAGAAAAGCACGGTAGAATAAAACCAGGTAACTTGTCTCATAATCCTATGTTGGGCTATACTAAACTTTTCCTATGTGAGGTTGAAAATTATGAACCTAAATGTGGGAATCAGCAAATACTGGTGCACTGTGTTGGCATAACAAACATAGGAGAATATACTTGTACATTCATTAAAGCCAAGTGCATTTTCTGATGGGCAAACAAAACCTCCTTCTCCTTTAACATGATTGTAAAGTCTGGGCTAGCTGGGTTTGTGCCTGATTTACTAAATTTTCAAGACAGTTTTACAAAACTGAGTTTTATTAGAGATGGGCCTAAGCTGAAAAGTTCAGCTCTGGGTCCACACTTCCCCAAGGTCCAAGAGTGTTTGGATCCAGGATTTCAGCTCAGACATCGAGACAGTTTCTGCATTTTGGATTTGTTGCAAAAATGAACTGCCGGGGAAATCTGAAGAAAAGAGTTTGTGAAAACTCAAGGTTTAATATACTGTTCGACCTAAGTCCCATTTTCAAAAGTGACTTCAGCACTTAGAAGCCTTATCCCCATGCACTTTCAATGACATATAAACTACTACCTGCCTAATGGCCAGATTTTTAAAGGTATTTAGGTGCCAAAAGATGCAGATAGGCATTAGAGGGTTTTTCAAAATCACTTAGATGTCTAACTCTCATTGATTTCTATTTGTGTAAGGTACCTGTTTGCTTTTGAAAAACACACTAGATGTTCATGTACATCTTTAGGTGTCTAAATACCTTTACTAATCTGGCCCTAAGACTCTTGAAAATGGGACTTGGGAGCCTAAATCACATAGGTACTTTTGGAAATGTTACCCAGAATCTTTGATTGTATATTTATTTATTAGCCTTATGGAGTGAAGTGTTAAGTGTTTCAGTGAGTCTTATGAGTCAATTTCTTTCATTTATGATGTCCCTTGTTCTACTCTTAGGCTGAAGTTTAGGTCCACTGTGTCTCTAGCTAAGTTTTGGAGATTGTTGGCATGAACTATATTTCTGTGTAGAAAAAGAGTTCAGAGGCTACAGTATTATTGGCATTGCCTTTGTGGTTGTTGCATTTGCCAATCACAGTGGCTCTGGGGTTTCCCAGCACAAGACCGGGCAGGAAATGCATTAGTTTCTCCAGTAATTCTATAGTTCCTTCTCCTGGAGGTCTGCTAACCACTAGTGGGAGTTGTGCTTGCAGGGAGATGACAAGGTAGGGATGCTGTAGGTAGCAATCTGTGGTCTTGGGGTTGTATTATCCTTCATCTTTTGATGGTAGCTCTGCTGCCTCCTGGTGGACAAAGGCACCGGCCCACTGGTCAGTAGGTCTCCACTGCCCAGGCACTGTGGTGCTTATCAGCTAGTAAGGCTGATAAGCACTAAAGGATACGGGCTATTCTATTTCCAGATTAACCAATAAAAACAGAATTGATACTAAATAAACACTATAACCACCTTGATGCATATTTTATTCCACAAATCTTTTGTTTCACCACTTTCTGAATTATTTTAACTGAGTAGCTTGAAGTCCTGCATGAGATTTGAGCTAGCCATTGAAAATGATTTATAGCTGACAGCTCTCTTTTTGCAATGCCCAGAGATCGAAGATTCATGTAAGATTAATTGTGATGGAAGGTGCTGACTTTTCTTCTAGCAGTAGAAAAGTGGAGTTTGGTATCTTTATATAGAATGTGCCTCTGAATTCTCACTAGAAAATCCCAAATTTTCACTGTCAAGGCTATTATTAGCAGTTCCCAGTATACAACCTGTTGATATTGACAGCTTTGTTTAACATAGAAAGGACATGAGTGACAGAGTGGTCCCTGATATTAAAAGACTAGGTCACTGTAAAATATATATTTATTACATATTATGTATCTAATATTGTGATCTGAAGGGACAAGGGGATAGGTAGATTCTGATTCCCTAACTCACAGTAAAAAGACACACTGCACTCCACAAATAGTCCCATTGAAATCAGTGGGATAACTCATGGGGTAAGGTGCTATTACATGAGAGCAAGGCTATCAGAATCTTCTCCTAACTATGTATTTTGTGTTCATGATCACTTGTGGTATCTTAAGTATTTAGACCTAATTTTGCCCTCAGCTACGGAAACTAAGGACCACATTTTCGCTATCGTTTGTGCCTACCTGATTGGAGTCTCCATTTGCTGACACATTCTGGGTTTTGTGGGCATATGCAGTTGTGATTACAGATTTTAAATATAAGTAGAATACACTTAATGAACCATTTTGAAAAAATTAAACAAACAAGACAAAACTTTATGTGACAGGTAAAATTACAATGTTTATAATGTTTCCAAAATTGGTTTCTATCTTTATAGGGTTATATCCTCAGCTGGTATCAAATGGGATAGTCCATTTAAAAAATCAAATGAGCTATGTCATTTTACACCAGCCGAGGATCTGACCCATATTCTTTAAAACAAAAACGTACCTCCTAACTGTTTCTTAATAGCCTGGAAACTCCTTTTATGCTAAGTGGCAGATTGCCTGGTATCAAATTGATGTAGTATTTTAAAGTTAAAGATCTATACGCAGAGTGTTAACAAGGTTGTTGCATTTTCCACAGAGACACTAACAAATGATGCAGTCTTAAATATCAATTGATTTAGAATATCTTTTAACCTTACATCAATATTAGGGCTTAGTATAACTCTTCCACAAGAAATCTACGGTGTGATCTTTGTACTTCATGTTAGAGTGCATCTTACATACATCCTATGTTATGTTAAATATCATCTCTTTCATAAATTATCCGACATTTTTATCCATTTGATTGTATTGCTGTTTAGATTTTTCTAGGCACAAACATGTATCTGTAGCATTGGTAACCAAATAGTCAAGCAGCTAAGACTTTAGAAACTTGCTTTTGTATTGTGTTTTGCCATCTTTGCAGCATCTTTGCATCAGCCATGCCTCCAGTGCTATCAGTAAAGAACTACGTTCTTCTCAATTCTCACCAAGCTATACCAGTTTCCATACACAGGTCAAGATTTTCAAACTTGATTAGTGATTTTTGGGTCCCCAATTTGGCATGCCTTAAATGGCCCTGATTTTCAGAAAGTGCCGAGCATCTACCCTCTGAAAATTAGCATCCTGGAAGGTGTGTCAAGTTAGGCACCCAGAATAGCTTAGTCATATCTGAAAATCTTTCCCCAGTTTTTAGGTTCTACTTTTATACTGGGCCTGCACATTCTTGGAGGACACATGTATTATGAAAAATCCATTGTGCCTAG